AAGGGCAGGGATCAAGCCGCTCTATGTGCCCTTGACCGCAATTGAACCCGAGGGCCGACGCTGTAACAGCTGACCCAAACCAGCTAGGGCTAGACTTAGCCTTGTAAAAGTAGGGTCTTTGTGTTTTATTCATATTCTCCAGAACTGAGTGTAATGGTTATTGCATAGGAGGTACTCGATAGGTGTTGCTTGAACGAATAAATAGACTGAGCACCTACTGTATCCCCGGCATTGTACCTTGGGAGGCAAGTCGTATTCTCTCCATTTTATAGTTGAGGAAATTGAGTCCCAAGGAGATTGAGTAACTTGTGTAAGATCATAAGCTGTGAGTAGCAAAACCATCAGGTAAAGTCATGTTTTACTGACACTCTTAAATCCTTGTTCTTCCTCTTAACCATACCAACGGAATGCATTCTTTAAACATGAAAAGGAATCTGATATCAAAAACAGTTATTTTAAATACTTGGAAAACAACCAATGAATGACAAAATTTAAATTAGAAATTCCTTTTTCTCAACTTCTCTTTCCTGGCAAAGTGTAACAATGTGGCTAACCATGGTGGATGGTGGTAAGACTGAATTCACTTTTAAAGCAAGTAAGATCAAGCAAAAAATATTACAATGTAACTGACAAATATTAAAAATGCATATTTAACACCCATAACAGAATACAAATTACCATGTCTTTACTCTCAAATAATAAATGGTTTTATGTATGAAAGAAATATGTGCCATTATAGATATTTTCTTATACACAATTTCCCCCAAGTAATAAATCCACAGGAAAAAATATTAATATTATTAAATATTTCTTATGGCATTTTCAAAACATTAAAAATTTTTTAGTTTCAATTAATATTAAGATTTCATAAAATTTGAGCTGTTAGTGATTTTTTTTAGTAACAGGCACTTTGTGTTTATTTTTCTCATTAATTTCAAATTATCTACAATTACTATTCTAAAAGCACTGATTTTAACTGTAAGTTTTCATTTTTACATTTAAAAATATGGGATGCTTGCCCAGCCAGCATGGCTCAATAGTTAAGCATCAATCTATGAACCAGGAGATCATGATTCGATTCCCAGTCAGGACACATGCCCAGGTTGTGGGCTCGATCCCCAGAGGAGGATGTGCAGGAGGCAGCTGATCAATGATTCTCTTTCATCATTGATGTTTCTATCTCTCTCTCCTTCTCCCTTCCTCACTGAAATCAATTCAAATATATATATTTTAAAAATGGGATGCTTTGTGAATTTTCTTACAAAGTGTATTTATGTCATGTGAAGTATATACCACCCACAAAGCACCCTATGTATTATCCTTCATTATTCTTTCTTAACTTTTTAAAATTTTTTAAAACCCACAATCTTGAACAGTATTTTTAAAATGTATTTTATACATAATGTTAAACAGTATTACTTTTATCATTTTCACATTTTTTTACAAAAGTTTACCACTTTAAAAAATAATTTGATCCTTATTTATAAGCTTCAAACAACTGAGAATAGGAGCAGAAGGTTTAATTTCAATCATAATATTTTATCTTAATGATACAAGTCATCATGGAAGCAGTGTAGTAAATTGCAGAGAAAATACAAGAAACATTTCATCTATTAAGCCAAAATCTTCTGTGATGTGTAAATTAATTCTTTGAAAGTTTAGCTTATTTAACTTTTTTTATCTTAGTAACTTAATACTAGAACTTTATATTATCATATACAGAGGTAGGCAAAAGCAATTTTACAGTTGTGAGTACGTAAAACTCAGAGCTTATTCTTGTATTATGTATTTTTCCATATGAACAACTGTAAATCTACTTTTGCCCACCCCTGTATAATACATACATATATACACATATGTTTAAGCCATACATTGTATCTAAATTATGCAAGAATGGGATAATATTTCTGAGCTCCAGGAAGAGGGTTTAATTGCAACAGAAACAAGGAGGTCCTTGTCACATCACACCACCATGAAATGCACGTTATATAAAGACAGAAGCTGCTAGTTTAACATTATCATCTGTGGACTTACCTGGTATTCTGAGCGCTTGACTAATAAAAAACCTTCAAAGTATAAAGGTAGAGCAGTAATCTTTAACCTCTCTTGGAAGATCCTTCGAGGGGCTGGTTTCGGGGGCTTCTTAGCCATCATACCCTCTCGTGGGTGTGTGGTTTGGTTACAACTGTATCCAGTCTCAAACAAAATGAGATCTACCTTGTGTGAGAGGAAAACGCAACTGTTCAAAGAGGAAGTCCCAACTCGATTTTAAACCACCAACAGGACACACACACACACACACTCTCTCTCTCTCTCTCTCTCTCTCTCTCTTTCCTTTGCTTTTTATGAGGTAAGATAAAACAGGCATAGACCAGCTTTGAGAAAGCAACCTCTGAATAAACTACATGTACTTAGAATAAAGAGAAGATTAACATCACCAGAAGATGAAAGGAACCCATTTGGAGATTCTGGGCTTTAGAGGAGACATCCAGGTCACATTTGTTTACTTTTTGTTTTAATTGTTGTCCATTTTTATCCCCAGAAGGCATGACTTGAATTAACTCCACTTCACTAAAAATTAATTCATAGGATAACTTTATTTGAACTACTTCTGTTGTATTTCAGGATCAAGCTTTGTTTAAATTTTAAGAAAAATGGAGCTCTTTATCCCATACCCATTTTGATGGTCCACTAAGCATAAAACACAGTTATGGGAACATGGAATTTTCCACTTCTTTTTGGTCAGTATTTTAAATTCTTGGGTCACCAGTGGATATTTGGCAAAATGTTTGGCAGAGAAAGCTTTAAATTTTCAAACTTTTATTTTGTTGTTTTATGCTTTCTGAGCTGTGTATCACTGATGCTATGATGCATAGATGAGGTCCTTACTGTTATCTAGTAAGGTTTATAGAGCTTCACTGGGACCAAAATGCAACTAATAGCTCCATGTGGGGAACGGTCATTGAGAGACTGGAGTTAGCTCAATACTGTAAAAGGAATAACGGAGGAAAGGAACATAGGAGGAATTCTGGTTTGTTTTGCAGGGTCCTGAGAAGTTACACCATTTGATATTTCACCCTCAATATTTCAGGAAAACTCTTGATTTAGTAGCCTGGGCCTGAGCATTCTCTACATCTGAACCAGCCTATTCTCAGAAATCAAAGCAAGCCATACACCTTCCAACTGACCCTCCTTTTTGTTGTTGTTGTTAATCCTCACTCCAGGATATTTTTCCATTGATTTTTAGAGAGAGTGGAAGGGAGAGGGAGAGACAGAGAGAAATATCAATGTGAAAGAGTGCATGCACCCTGACCAGGGCCAGGGAACCTGCAACCAAGGTACATGCCCTTGAGCAGAGATGAACCCAGGACTCTCAGTCCCCGAGCCGACGCTCTATCCACTGAACCAAACCAGCTTAGGGCTGATCCTTCTCTTCTAATGGAGAGAGCACATGGTTTCCTCCACCAGTTGGGGTTTCCATTAGATCTGCAGCAGTAGATGTGGGATACCAAATTGTCTACAAAATGAGGTACAACAATACAGACAGATTATTAGTAAATTAGAGAAGAGTGTTCAAGTGTGCTATCAAAATGAAAATAATTTGAAACAGAAATAGGAAATCAAAACTTCAGAATTATCGCCTTGCCTTTAAATTTGAGACCTGCTCCCTAAGACCCAAACTTTCAAATGATAAAATCTAAGCCCAACTTAATTTTTTGGAGATAAATTCACACTATTTTTTAGTTTCAATGTAATTTTAAAAATGAGTCAAATAACCAAAGGAAATCTCCCAAGTTAATAAGTGACCAAATCTGCCTGTTGGCAGCTGGTAGCTGATGTAACACAGGAAGGAAGTGAAAGGAGGGTTGAGAACTGAGAAATAAGGAGAAGCAGGGAGATAGGATGCTGGGAATCATTAGTGGTCAGAATGTGAGAAAGTAGTCGCTGGCTTTATGTCCAGAGAGTGGCATGGGAGAAAAACAAAAAACAAAAACGCCTTTTAAAAAGTGTAAAAATAGAAATATTTTGAGAAATAATGATCTAAATACACCATTTACATATTATGCAGCAGTAAAAAAGAAGGATCTCTTACCCTTTGAGACAGCATGGAGGAACCTGGAAAGTATTATACTAAACGAAATAAGCCAGTCAGAGAAAGACAAGTATCACATGCATGATCTCACTCATATGTAGAATCTAAAGGGCAAAATAAGCTGATGAACAAAATAGATCCAGAGACATAGAAGCATGGATCAGACTGTCCAATCTCAGAGGGAAGGTGGGGGGTGGGGTGGGAGGGAATAGATTAACCAAAGAACTTGTATGCGTATATGCATAACCAATGGGCACAGACAATAGTGTGGTGAAGGCCTGGGGTTGGGGTGGGTGCAGGCTAGAAGGGGTCAATGGGGAGAAAGAGGACATCAGAAATACTTTCAACAATAAAGATTTTTTTAAAATGTAAAAGTAGGAATATTTTGAGAAATAATGATGTAATTATATTTTTCTTATCTTTATTTTTTTTATATTTTTTCTTATCTTTAAAAACATACACAACATTTTTTAAAAAGCCAGTTCATGAACTTTTGTACGTTGCTTTGTTTTGTTGATTTGCAAGTCAAATAAATTCATAATATGCCACAGTTCAAATACTGTCTCCAAAAAAACAATATACACAGCAAAAACAAAAAATAGAGAACAACAACAAAAACACCCCCCAAATCTACACAATGCAGAAGTCCTGCTGAAACATTATTAACCAGTTACACCTGTTCACAATTTTCAGTATCATTGTACCAGTGTGCCATTACAATGGAAATCCTCTTACAGATATCTCAAGTTTTAGGTGTTGAATAATGAATTGTAGGTTAGGTAATGTCATAGGAAAAGTGTTTGGGAGTAGGGAGAAAAGTCAATTTTGCCACTAACCAGCTCTGAGACCTTGAACAAACCACTTAACTGCTCTGGGATCACAGCTTCCCAACCTATGATATGAGGGGGTGGGCTAAATGACTTCTTATCTGGAGTTACAGTAGGCTTCTAAGCAGTCTACTTATTACTCTTTTTCTTCTCTGATTCATTTAAAATCAGTCTCTTTAAGTCATTCCCCTGCTTAAAGCAGTGGTTCTCAATCTTCTGGCCCTTTAAATACAGTTCCTCATGTTGTGACCCAACCATTAAATTATTTTCGTTGCTACTTCATAACTATAATGTTGCTACTGTTATGAATCGTAATGTAAATATCTGATATGCAGGATGGTCTTAGGCGACCCCTGTGAAAGGGTGGTTCGACCGCTAAAGGGGTCGCGACTCAGGTTGAGAACTGCTGCTTTAAAGTATTCTCATTGCTTTTGAGGTTTATTTTTTCATTCAACACTAAGTATTTATTGAGCACCAGCAATATGTTCAAGCAGGTCACACAGGTCTTTTATAATAGGGCCCTTTTAAATGAAAACATTAAAAAAATACTCTCTTCTCTAATCGCTTTGGTTACTTCCACTACATATGTCTTTTGGGACAGAAAATTAAAGGTGACAAATCACTGCTACAGAAGTGATATCATTGCTCTGTCAGAATGATTTAATTTGCTAACCTTGTAATTTTCATTTCAGGACAAAGAGTTTCTTCTAGGATGATAGAGTTTTTCTAGTTAATGTTCACACTATTTTTATAGTGTGGGGAAACATATTAGTTATCATGAATTATTTTCTATGTAACTGACCCTTCATCAATACAGTTCCCTAGTATCTATAGGAATAAGTGAAAAGTCATCCTAACATTGAAGGTACTCCATAATCTAGCTCCATTTTGCTACTACATATATTCTTCTGTGTCAACTAACTGTACCTCATATCTGCCTCTTGTCTTGGCTTGCAGTTTATCTCCCTATTTCCTTCACCTCATAAATCTCTTACTGTTAGGGATTGATTGCCTGCAAGCTACAATTTTGGCACTTCATTGTTTATAAATTTTTACAGGTATTTGAATTTATAAACACCTTATATTTTATCCATACTTAAAATTAAAAGAATTTATTTATTTTTTCTTATTATTAATGGAAAACTTACTTATACAAATTTTAGACACAACAGAAAGGCATAAGGAAGAAATGAAAATCACACACTACTCTATTATCTGCAATTAGCACTCTTTGGATGGGTACCATCACTTCTTTGGGCACTTTTTCTCTATTTCTAGATATATTTATGTAATCAGGTTAATCAAATTCACACTGTTTCATAAACTACATTTTAAAAAATATGTTTTTATTGATCCCAGAAAGAAAGGAA